TTGATTTCATTTTAATTGAAAAAAATTCATATTTTTTATTTACATTGATTAATTGAATTTGAATTTTACAAAAACCAAAAAAAAAAAAAAAAAATTATGAATCAAATATTGGATATTAGTTGTTGGCCAGTGATACAAGAAATTTTATCCGAAGAACCAAATTTTTGGTCAACCAATTTAAATGAAAAAAATGATCAAATATTTATCTGTGATCATGGTACAAGAGCTATATTGATTTCAAATCAAAATAATCAAACAAAACTTTATCTATGGAATGCTGGTTATCGTAATAAATTGATTCAATTAAAACGTTCGTTTTATGGTAATGGTAATCAAGGATTAAATCAATATCGACAACAACAACAACAACAAAGACGTTGGTTTCTTTTAAATGATCTTTGTTTTCGTTGTTCAATCCAACAGATCAGATTTTTTGATGGTTGGTTATTTATATTGACCGATAATGATCGGCTTCATTGTCGTAATTTGGATGCAAACATTAATTATGAAAATTGGAATAAATTAAAATCCTGTAATGATAATGATAATGAAGTTGATTCACTCTATCCATTTGGACAATGTTTGCATTTAAAACCATCATCAACAACATTGACATTACCATCATCACCAGAAGGTGGTGATGATAATGGTGGTGTTAATCATTCATTATTATCATCGGCAAAAACATCAAAGCCAAATATTAAAACAACATTTGTTCTGGATCAAGTTTTGAAATTTGATCAAAGTGAAACATATACAATAATATTATTGAAAAATCAAACAACAATTCATATAATATTATGGTTAATATTTCTGGATAATTCAAATCGACAATTATTTGAACATCATATTGAATATTCATCGAATCCTGAATGTTTAAAATATCAAGATATTGTTGTTTATGAACGTGGTTATATTATACTGACTAATCAACAAACATTATTGATGGAAGGAAATTTTATTACCGATATTCCGACCGAAGAACAACCATTTTATTCACGTTCAACAATGATCAATTTAAAGGAATTACAATTTCCAATTGCAAATGAATCTAAATCAACAACATCTGAATCATCATTAATATTTGAACGTATTTTTGCATGTAAACATCAATTATTATTGCTTACAAATAATGGTATGATTTATTGTCTAATATTTACTCGAAATAAATTAATACCCGGTACATTTATGAATGAAATACCAATGATGGAAATTTATTCCAATTATAAATCATCAAATTTTCTATCAATTGGTATGGATCGAAAAATTCACCTATATTGTCCAAAATCATTTTCAAAAATACAAAATTTCAATAATGATTATCAAATTAAATCGATTATTGATCAACAACAGAAACCAGGACCAAGAACATCATTAGTTGTAACGGCATTTGAATCAATACCAGATGCATATTCAATTTTTATTGAACAAAATGATATGCCAACATTAGCAAATAATGGTTTGAATAATAATGAAAATATTACAATTCAACGAAATATTTGTAATCAAAAATCATTCGGTTTTAATAATCCAATAACATCGGATTTATTGATTACATTAATCGATGATAATCAAAATTCTGATAATCAGAATTATTTTCTACATTCAACAATTATTGAACCAATAATGGGTATATTGAAAAAATATTTTCATATTTATAAAATTCAACGACAAAATTATGATAAATTTATATTGAAAAAAAGAAATTATACATTAGAATCAAATTATCGTATAATGATGATGAAAAAAAATTTTAAATGGAAAAAATATTTTCAATCAATTGATCCGACGAAAATTTGGTATTGCCCACAAGAACAATCAAAACAATTACAATGTTTTGATTATGAATTTTTGAAATTTTCCAATGAAACAAATAATGATAAAGATAATGTCGATTTGATGGATGACGATAATGATGATAATAATTTAAAATTATCAACATTTAGTCCAGAAATAATACGATCATTTTTAAAATTTTATTATACTGGTATATTTGAATTAAGTGATTCATATATATTTGATGAATTACAATCGTTTGTTTTGTTTTTGGAACAACAACAACAACAACAAGAATCAAAAACTTTTGTGGATAAATCGTTGATTGAATGTTTTCGAAAAAATATACAAAATTTTTTCCATAAACAACAACAACCAAAACCAAAACAACAACAGAATTCATCGAATGCAAATCATCCAATAACATTTAATGGAACAAAATTTTCATTTCATTATCAATTTCAAAAAAATGTTTAAAAAAGAAAAAAATTACTCACTCAACACTCATGACATGATGGGATAATAAAATTTTGTTTTTTAAAAATTTAAAAGTTTTGAAAAACAAAACACGTGCACACAGCAAAAAAACACACGTACTGCTGCTGCTGTTGATCAATATGAATTTTTCGTATATGGAGAATATCACTGAAATTCAATTCAATTCAATGTTTGTTTGTTTTTTGTTGTTGAAAAAAGAGAAACAATTTAGATAGATAAGATGCCAAAATTGAGAAAAAACAGTGAAAGTTAGTGTTTTTTTCGAGATTTGATTTAGAAGCATCAATTGACAACAGACAGACAGAGACAGAGAGACAATCAAAGTTTATAATCAATGTCGCCATTCATTTCAATCGCAATAATCATTTGGAGCTCTCACCACGTACATAAACAAAACAGGATTCAAGTTTGTTGTTGTTGTTGTTGTTGTTGTTTGCTATCTCTATATTTCTCAACATCATCATTAAATGAAAAAAAATATTCATTTATTTTTGTCGTCGTCGTTGTTGTTGTTGCAATCATTATTTTTGGGTAGTAGTAGTAGTTATATCAAAGTCAATGTTGTCATTTGAAAGAGAGTGAGAGAGGGAAACGAATATCTGGTTTTATTACATGAAAGCCGCTGAATGAAACTATTTAGTTGATCCAGGATCGAGTTTGCGCTTACTCTTTCTATATAATGATGAAAAGGTTTTGTTCCTTTTTCAATTAAATGTTTGAATTTGAATTCGATATTCATCGATAAATGATTGTAATGATTTGGTAATTTTTAGATTGAAATCCAGGTTTACAAATTGATTGATTGATTGTCTATTTTGACAGAATTGTTTTGAATTTTCCGAACCAGTATTCAATTGTTGTCGTAAACGATGTAAATCTTGTAGAATTATTGAACGATTATTGTGGATTGTGGATGATGAATGATGGAAAAATCTATAGATTTTGATACCGACAGCTAAAAATTGTTGATAATATTTATCTGATTCATTTTTCATTATTGGAATGTCATCGATCGACGATGATGATGATGAATGATAACCGAATTCAGGATAAAATTGTTGAAATAATTGTTCACGATTACCAATTAGAATAGTACCTAACCATGATGTTTGATTTGAAATTCGTTCACAATTCAAAATACCCAATAACCAATGAAAACGTTCAATAAAATTTATTGAAAATGGTTGTAATCGTTGATGATAAATTTTCGATCTTGATTGACATTTATCGATTAATGTTCGACATTGTTGAATCATTGTATTTAAAAGTTGTACATTGACGGTAGTTTGATTTTGTAATGATAATGAGGAATAATCAAATATTAATCGTTCGAAAATTATCGATATACTTCGACCACATTTGAATATTTCCAAATTATCGGGTATTGTGGGAACATTTTCTTCAAACGGTATTGGTATTTCATCATCATTATCATCATTTGGTTGGGCCATAGAATTACGGGAAATCCATATGAACAATATCAAAATGAAACGGAAAATCAACATTGTTTGTTGTTTAAATTAACCAAAGAACCAAAAAAAACCGAACTGAAAAGAAACATTTTCTTGATTTTTGCTCGATTTGAATAACAACAACATTTGAAAAAGACATTTTCATATCAACAAAATTGATAAGCTTTTTTGGTGTTTTTTGTTTGGATAACGATTTTTTTTTGTTTTTGATTTCGTTCGAATATCAAACTATCGATAGTCACTATCGATAGTATTGATATTGTCATCATTGATTTTTGTTTTTCCTTTTTTTTTTGAGATAAAATTTCAAAAAATAAATTGTTTTTTTTTCAAAATAAAAATTTTTTAAAAAAATTTCGATTTGCAAATAAAATGACAAAATTGGCAAAATCGACAAAAAAAACGAAAATGACAATTGGTTAGGTTAGGTTAGGTTAGGTTAGTCATTATAATGAAACTTGATCCTTGTGTATAATGCTTTTTTTGGATCTATTCACAAACAATGTAATCAACAAACAAAAAAAAACATTCGAATTGAAAACATTCGAATTTTGTAAAATGTGGATCAACAAAAAATGATTTTGGCCTTTTTATGGTCAAAATTTTTCTTTTTTTTCTTTTGATTGTTCAAATGGTTAAAATAATCATTATTATTATCGAATGTCTGAAATGGTCATTATTGATAATGATCATGTGATCTATTTATCAATTTTTTTTGTTGACAAGTGATTATTATGTTCCAAAAAAAATCAATCAATCCAATTCAATCCCAAAAAAAACATCGATCGAAAGAGAGAAAAATCATTCAATTCTATTTTGATATTTCTTATTTTGGGGGGGGGGAATAAATGAAACAAACAACTCTTTCGCTCGCTTTAAACTCTTTCGTTTTGTCAAATCAGACAAATCAAACAGCGATCTATTCCCCTTAAAGCCTTCGGTGATGACATTCGATAATACGGGACAAACAAAAAAAACCTACGTACAACATTGTGATTGATACATGAAGGTAAAAAACGAAAACCAAAGATTCGATTCTTTAAATATATTTTTTCCACTTAATTTCAAGATTTTTTTTCAAGATTTTTCTTTTTTTTAGCAGAACCTGACGGAAATGACGAAAAAATAATTAAAAACAGCCTCTGTTTTTGGTGAGTGGTGGCGGTGGCGGTGAAACGATTGATTGAACAGGTAGTATGATTTTTTGTTTCGATGCAAAATAGAGAGAAAGATAAAATTGAAAAAGAATTAAAAATTTTTTTTCTCCAGTTTATTTAGGTTTGTTTGCTTGTTCGTTTGCTGCAAGACAATAGGATTTGAATGAAACAAATTTTGAAAAATAAAAATCTTTTCAAATTATCATCATCATCATCACTATTGACAAAAAAGACAGGTGACATTGAAATTGATAAATTTTTTTCACCTGAAACATTATTAATTTTTGAAATTTTTGAAATTGTTTTACGTCAGTTTTTATCGTCGATTTTTTTTTTGAATAATCTCTACCGATTGATTTTCTGATTATAACCAGAAAGAAAAGTTTGATAATAGTGATGATGATTCGATGAAAGAAAAAAATTTTCAAAAAGAAACTCCACTAAATAAATTAACCTTTGACAGGTAAGTTTCAAAACATATATTTTCTTTTTTTTTCATTTCAAACTTTAAAATATGATTTTTGGTTTTTGATTTTTGATTTTTATGACATCATTAATTTTTATGCTTTCTCTCTTTGTGTCTCTGCTCTGTGTGTTTGTGTGTGTGTTTAAGTGCCTGGGTGGATGTGATGAGCAAAAAAAATGTTTCATTTTCCACCCGATTTCCGATTTTTTTCCCATTCCCCCTCCCACCAAATCATGATGCAATGTCGAAATGATGAAATCGATTTTTTTCTCCGGTTATCATTCGAATCAAACTACCAAAAACCAATCGACAATGACAAAGCTAAAACAAAACTTTTCATTTTCATTTCAAATGAAAATCATAAGAAAAAAAAAATGATTATCACCATCATCATCATCATCATTATTATTTTCAATTCATTTCATTTAAATTCAATGATGATGATGATGATAATGATTTTTAATTGGAAACAATTTTGAGGGTGGTGTGATTGTAAAGAAAAATGTTGGTGAAAGTGGTGGTAGTTCAAATTCGACCTATACCTGTGTGTGATCATAATCATCATCATCCAATTTTTTGTTGTTGTTGTTATTAGCCAAAATCCAAAAACAAAAAAGGTAATAATTTCATTTGAAATTGCCTTTAGTGATTTGATGTGTATGTATGCGTGTGCCTAGCACACATAATCTTTTCCAATCTTCTTTCTTTTTGATTGTTGAATCTCATAAACAAATTTGTCTTTTCGGTTGTCAATTGTAAAAACAAAAAACGAAACAAAAAGCAAATTTATTTATCACACTTTTCTTTTATCCCATCACCGCCACCACAAAAGCATTATCTGATTATCATCATCACAATTGAATTTTTGGTGACCAAAAACTCTTGAAAATTTTTCTTATTTTCAAGTTTAGAATTTTGTTCTGCTTTTTTTTTGGTTAAATTAAATTATTTATATTAAGTAAATATTTTTTTTTGTTTGTAAACAACAACTACAACAACAACAACAAACTGGTAAGTTCTGTTCTGTTTTTCTGTTTTGTTTTTGTTTTTATCAATCGATCGATCGATCAACTGATCAATATGATATTGACCGATTTATTAATCATTTTGTTTTGCCCTTTATGATTGATTTATCAAAAAATCAATAAGTGGCCAATGACGTTTTTCTTAAAAAATCTTTTATCCCCTTTATTTAACCATAAGTGTTTACAGTGTTACCGTTTTTTTTTCTTTCTTTAATACTGCTACACTGTACTTTATTTATTATCGATTATTGATTATTATAATTGGTTCTAGGTAGTCGGATTTTTCTGATTATCATAAAAAATTTTTTCCCTCCCCCACGGCAGGTGATTGATTATTTTACAGAAAATCAATCAATCAATGTTCTAGTAGGGGGAAAAAATTTTTGGGATATGATTAAATTTTTTCATTGATCGATTTGAATTTGATGATGATCCTTTTTTTAAATTTTTGTTATTTTTTTCCCAAAAAAATTTTTTTGTTTGTAAAATTTTTACCATTTTTTTTCTTCTTCATTAACCCTTCGATATAGGCCTCGATAATCCTTTTGGTAGTAGGTGTTCACGAATATTATCATCATCGATATAATCATTATTGTCGACCAACAAAAGTATCATAGATTCAACAATAACAACAACAACAAAATGCAATTGAAAGAAATTGATGAATGTTGTATAAATAACGATAATAATAATATTATTATTCAAGCAATGGAACAATCAACAAATGAACCAATTGCTGGTATTATTAATGAAGCATTTTTAAATGAAGAAGACGAAATGAAAGTGAATGTGGAAAAAGCGGAAAAAGTAGTAGATGAAAATCAGAAAAAGATTAATAAATCGAAAATAATCATTTTAAAAAATATTATTGATGATCAAAATAATAATCCAATAATGGATTTAATGGATGCAAAAAAAATGATTATTGTTGATAAATCATTATCAATAACCATTAATGATGATATTGAAAAACAACAACAACAAACAACAACAACTGAAGATTATAATGATTATGATGATGATGTTGTTGTCGATGATGATGATGATGATGATGAAAAAAAAACTATATATCAAATACAAACATCATGGGCAGTGTTAAAACAAATGTTATTACCATTTTTAATTGCCGGTATTGGATCGGTATTTGCTGGTGTTGTTTTGAATGCTGTTACACAATGGCCAGTATTTGTTGAAATACCACAAATTTCAATAATGGTTACAGCATTTTTAGGTCTTATTGGTAATATTGAAACAACATTAGCATCACGACTATCAACACAAGCAAATCTTGGTCGTTTAGATAAATGGCATAGTATTTATGATATTATTTTTGGTAATATTATGGTTGTACAATGTCAAGCATCAACTGTCGGTTTGTTTGCTGCAATTTGTTCAATATTAATATCATCGGTACGTGAAGAAACACGTGAAAAATTAACATATGATTCGATAATACTTTTATGTTCATCATCTGTTTTAACATCGATTATTGCAAATACATTGATTGCATCAATAATAATTATTGTTATTATTGTTGCACGTCGATTAGGAATTAATCCAGGTAAATTTCAATTGATTTTTTTAATCCTTTAATTCTTGATTTTTAACTTTAAAAAATTTTTCTGTACTTTATCAACCAACAAATAGATAACATATCGACACCTGTTGCAGCATCAATGGGTGATGTTTGTACAATTAGTATTCTAGCATATGTTAGTCAATTTTTATATGATCTGAATCATGGTAAAGAAATTCAAATAATATTAATGTCAATATGTTTATGCGTTGCACCGGTATTTGGTTGGTTTGCCCGTCGTAATCGTTGGACACGTACTGTTATATTGTCCGGTTGGACAGCAATTCTTGGTGCCGTTATTATTGAACAACCTGGTGGTGTTGTAATGGAAAAAGCATTTCAAAATTATAAAGTTATGTCAACATTTCAACCATTAGTTAATGGTATTGGTAGTAATTTAGTTGGTATACAAACAAGTCGAATGTCAACATTTTTACATGCATCAGCACCAAAAGGTTTATTACCAACAACAAATCCAACACCATATGTTAGTCCATGGTTTGTTTTTCTATCCAAAGGTTAGTTTACAACAATCAAAATTTAATTTATTAGATTTTTTTGAAAAATTAACATTTTTTTTCATCTTTTTTCAAATACAGATCTACATGCACGTATGGCAAGACTTTTAATGATGGTTCTTATTCCATCACATTTATTTTTTATTGCAATTATATTTACATTACAAAGTACATTTGATTTTCAATTTATTATAACTGGACCATTCATGTCTGTTTATATAATTGCTGTTATTATACAATTAGCTTTATTATTATATTTAGCATATATATCGGTATTTTGGGCATGGAAAAATCGTATTAATCCGGATAATTCAGCAATACCATTTACATCAGCATTAGCCGATGTTTTTGGTAATTGTTTAATGGCTATTGCATTTACATTATTAAAATGGATTAATGATGATAATGCAAATATTATGGAAAATTCTTCAATAGCAACAACAATAATTACAAATTTTAATGATAATAATACTTCGACAACAATGGCAACAAAATTACTAAATGATTCATTAATCATTTATTATCATTGAATTTTCATGAATCATCATCATCAATGTTTTTCAAAAATGATTTTATCAAATTTTATAATTTTAATAATATCAATGATTTTTATAATTAAATTAATAATAATTCTCAACATTGAAAGATTTTTTTTTTATTCTTTTCGAAGAATCGGTGGTTTCGTTTCGTTCAATAAATGACCGATAATATGCATACGATCTGAACCGAAAACCCATTGTGGTTTATCCGGCAAATGAATCAGGGTTATTGGCAAACCAAATCCACCTAAATTCTTAACTGTTTCTAAATTTTTTTCCAATTTTTTTCGATTTTCATCATTGGTCATTGTATTTAATGATTTATCAATCGATTCGGATGATATGCCTACGTCTGCGGTCAATTGTCGCATTACATCAGGATTCCATATTTCAGCTGGATTTTTTGTAAAAAAATTTTGAAAAAATATACCAACCAAACGATTATAGCTAGCTTCATCGATATGCGGTTGAATAGCGGATAAAAATTGTAATGCTGGATCAGTTTTAAATTCAATTGCAATTTGCATAAAATCTTTTGGCAATGAAAATGGAATCTATATTTTTTTGGGGGAAAAATTGATTAAAATCAAAAATGATAAGCAAAAAAAAAGTTACCTGATGAAAATCACTTAAACGTTTTAAATCACGATTCAAATAGATTGCTTTTGATGGATTCATACCTGGTGGCATGTTTTCGGCCGATGCAAATACTTCACGTATCATTACTGGTGTCATTTTTAATTGCATTGTTTTCCAATGATGACCAACTAATTGTCTCATTAATAATTCATATTGAAATCTTGAAAATGGTGATATTATATCATAGAATAATTCAACAATAGTCATTTTGAAGAAAATCTATTTTTTAAAAAAATGTAAAGGTTTACAAGTGAAACAATAATGATTTCTCAAATCAATTTTCCAAGTTCAACTGTACTTGCTATAGGCTAAATTGATAAACAAAGTTGATTTTGTTTAAATAGCATCCAGGTTTTTCGTTCGATTTCACTTGTCTGCTATTTTCAAGTGTTTTTCATTTTGATTCCTTTTAAGATTAAAAAAGATTTGAAAAAAAACAAAAACAATGTTAAGAATGTCAAAGATAATAAATTCTTCTTGTCGAATGTTTTCGACATCAATACCAAGATCAACAATGGTCGAAATGTTTTATGATTTAGCATCACCATATACTTGTTTACAGGTTCATTTATTGGATCGACAATTAGGACATTGGAAATCAATGGAATTAAAAATGACACCCGTTTCAATTGCACATATAATGAAATCAACATCAAATTCACCACCAATCAAAGTACAAGCTAAAGGTCGTTATATGTTTCGTGATCTTCAAACACTTACCGAATATCATCAGGTAAAGTTGATTTGTTGTAGTGAAACGATAATTCAATCAAAATTTTTACCATAGATACCATTTGCATTACCAGAAATATTTTTCGAAACAGTATTTGAAAAATATACTGTAAAAACACCAAGATTTATGGTAGCCGTACAGGAAAATTCACCCGAATTACATGATAAATTAATTCGTATTGCATATGGAAATTTTTTCACTTCAGAAAATGCTGTTGATATATCCGATATAGAAGAGATGAAAAAATTAGCATCAAAAGCAGGATGTTCAAATGAATTAATTCAAAAAATTGAACAAGATATGAATAATGATAAAATCAAAACAGCTTTAAAACAAAATACCGATCGTGCTGTTGAATTAGGTTGTTTTGGTCTACCAATGACATTGGTTCATCGTCCAAATATACCATTGGAACAATCATGGGTTTTCGGTTCGGATCGTATGCATATTATTGGCTATTATTTGGGTGAAAAAGAACCACCAATTCTTCGATGAAAAAAATCAATTTTTCAAAAAAAATTTTTAAAAAAAATTTTTCTTATAAAATTCCGAAGCGTACGTTGTTTATGAAGAGCATTGTTTTTTATGATAATAAAAAAAAAAAATACGAAAACATTCTTTTTTTACGTGCTTGTTTTTTTTCTGCCAACCAATGCGATTTATATAAAAAAAACGTCCCCATATCGATATTTTGATAAAAAAAATTGTTGATTTGAACGTACTTTGAGTCCGTTTTTTTTTGTTGTTTGCAGTAAAGTTGTTTGTTTTTCATTTTCTATATTGAAGAAAAAATCATTGAAAAAATCGTCAAGTAAGGTCAAATCGATTCAACAATTCGATCGATTTGAAAATGATGATTTAATCCGCGCCAAAAACAAAACCCTAATCGAAATTGGAAAATGTTTGGTGATCAAAATTCATTGAATCAAAATTCAACATCATTTATTGTTACAAAAATGTTGACCAAACACGGTGAAAAAGAATTATTAATCATGAAGAATAAAGAACATGAATCATGGATTCATTGTTTTCTTCAGGAAATTCAACAATCCAATTCATCATCATCATCAACAACATCATCATCAAATCAATCACAATCATTATCATCATCATCACGTGATCGTACATTATCCGGATCATCGGATTCAACAATTCGTGATGATTTTAAAAGAAAAAAACGTGCCATACTTAAACTGCAACAACATTTACAACAGGATATGTCCGATGAACAACGTAAACAATTTTATGATTTTGCCTTAACACGTATATTTGATTTAATGGTCGGTGTATCGGCTTCCAATTTGAATGATATAAAATCTGGTATAATGTTGATGTGTATATTGTTGGATGCACCAACATTGGAAAAAAATCGGCCTCCGATTTGTGCACCATTTGCTAATCATCTGCGTAATGTAAATCTCAGTTCATTTGATTTAGAATTATTAGATTTGATTGCTTGTGCTGTTGGTAAAATTGCGCTGAATTCTGGTTCATCAACACCGAATTTTGTTGAATTTGAAATACGTCGTGCTATTGAATTGATTGGTAATGAAAAAAATGATCTCCAAAAACGTCATTCAGCTATTTTGAATCTTCGTGAATTAGCCAATGTAACACCATCATATTTTTTTAATCATGTTATGCATATTTTTGAAAATATTTTCATTGCAATTTATGAACCAAAACTTCGTGAACCAGCTATTGCAGCATTAAGATCGGCATTATCGGTTGTTGTACAACGTGAACGTCTTGCATCAAGTATTTCATCCGCATCATCATCATCATCTGCGTCTGCATCCACATCATCGACATCAAAATCATCATCAACAGCCGTACGTTCACGTATCGATCAACAAATACCAATGTGTTATGAACTTTGTTATAATGAAATAATTAAAAGTTTTGAAGAACGAGATCGTTCCGCAAAAGATCGTGATGATCGTATACATGCTGCATTATTAATTTTAAATGAATTAATACGTTGTTCACATGATTCATCAATCATATTTCGTGATTCATCAATTAATCGTCAATTAGATTTTCTTTATAATAATCTTCGTGAATTGAATGATTTGAATACATTTTATTTTTCAAATTATTTATTCTATGATTTTGATTATCCATTATCATTTGATTTGATTGGTCAGAATATTTCATCATCATCATCATCATCGAAAAAATCACAGAATAACAGTAGCAGCAACAACAATACTGATCATCTAACTGATTGGCATTATGGTTATTTAACAAAATTATTTCGAAATTATCAAAATCTAGATTCATCATCAATGCCATTAATGTATGGTCTACGAACATTACAATCAATGGTAAATTATCATAAAGAAATGGGTTCAGCTCCGATATTATCATTTTTTCATAAACGTAAATTTACCAAATTAAGTACAATTTGTTATCAATTAATACAAAATCATTTTGATATAATTTGTTTACATTTAATTTCATTATTGAAATTAAAAAATTCTATACAAATTAATCAAGTTTTATTATTGGTATTACCATCATTAACATCATTGAATCCAAAATATTTTTCCAAAACTGGTCAATATGTTAATGATTCTATACAATATTTATTGATTTGTATTAAAAATCAATCATTACGTTCATTAGCATTTATATCGTTGGGTTTATTTGCATTATCAATAAAAGATGTATCGGAAAATGCTATTGATCAACATTTACCATTAATGATTAGTCAGATTCGTCAATTTTTCCCGGCAAAAGATCATTTGAATCAACAATCAACACCATCATCAACATCGAAAAAACATCGACAACAATCATCGATAAATAATCATATTGTACCGGATCCAGCTGTATTTACTTGTTTATCATTTATTGCACAAGCTGTTGGTAGAAAAATTCGTTTAGAAATAGCTGAAATGTTACCATCAATGTTTGTAAATGGTCTTAGTGAACCATTAGTAAATTCATTATATGATATTTGTAAATATATTCCTGAACTTAAAAGTGATATACATGAATTATTATTGAAAATATTGAGCAAAATTATAATGGATCGTCCAATGATACGACCAAAATTATTGACAGCTGATGGTGGTAGTAGTCAATCATTTTTATCATTATCAGCTCATAGTCTTAGTCATGGTGGTGGTTCAATTGATCGTTTAATAATGGATTCATCATCATCATCATCATCATCGATAACAATGTCGGCCAATGATTTGGAAACATTAAAATTAGCATTAAAAGTTTTGGGAAGATTTGATTTTAAACCAAGATATTTTTTTATGTTTTTACCACGTTGTGCAAATCAATATTTAATGCATGAAAATCGTGAAATACGTTTAGAAGCAGTACATACTTGTTGTCAATTATTGAAACCATTTTTAAAACCAAATAATGGTTTTGAAAAAATGACTAAAGATGTATTACAAAAATTATTAATAGTTGGTATTACTGATCAAGATAAATTTGTTCGTTATTCTGTATTATCACGTTTGGATGAATATTTTGATTATTATCTTGCACAGGCTATTAATCTTGAATCATTACAATTAACTGTTTATGATGAATGTTTTGAAATACGTGAATTAGGTGTTTGTATAAATGGTCGTTTATCAAGTTTAAATCCAGCATATGTAATGCCATTTTTATTACGTGTTTTGTTACAATTTTTAAGTGAATTCGAACATTCTGGTATTGCAAAAAATCTGGAACAATCAGCCAGAATGTTAGGACATTTATTAGCTTCTGCGCCAAGATTTTCACGGCCATATACTGAACCAATATTGAAAGTTTTTCTACCAAAATTACGTGATCCACAGCAATCACAAGCCGTGATAACAGCTGTAATGAGTGCTGTTGGTGAATTGGCTATTGTTTCCGGTTTAGAAATGCGTGCATATTTTTATGAATTATTTCCAATAATATTGGATGCCGTACAGGATACAAATTCATTTCAAAAACGTGAAATTGCCTTATGGACAATGGGTAGATTGATTGAAAATTGTGGCTATGTTATTGAACCATATTCCAAATTTCCAACATTAATGGAAGTTTTGTTTTCGATTATGAAATCTGAACCAACCAAATCATCACAATTAATAAGACGTGAAACAATACGTGTTCTTGGATTATTGGGTGCTGTTGATCCATATTGTCATAAAATTAATATGGGATTTATTGATTTATCGGGTGAATCATTAATCAGTTATGATCCTGCACTTGAACAAGAAGCAAATTCATATGAAATGATTTGGGGTACATTTTCAAGTGATGATTTTTATAGTTCACAAGCCATAAATACATTGATTGCTGTAATGAAAGATCCACAAGCATCAAGTCAACATACAATGGCTGTACAGGCAATGGCATTCATATTTAATGTATTAAAAGTACGTTCAGTACCATATCTACCAAATATATTACCACCATTTATTAATATTATACGTACGGGTGATCCAAAAATTCGTGAATTTCTCCTTCAACAATTAGGACAGATAATATCAGCTGTAAAAAAACATATACGTTCATATTTAGATGATATATTTAAAGTTTTACGTGAATTATGGACAACAAATAATTCAACAATGCAATTAACATTATTTAATGTTGTTGATCAAATGGTATTGGCATTAGGTTCAGAATTTCGTAATTATGTACCACATTTAATACCACATATATTAAAAGTATTTAATCATGATGCTAGTCCACAAAAAGAAGTAACAATAAAATTATTATCGGCATTACAAAATTTTGGTATTACATTAGAAGATTATATACATTTAATGATAACACCGATATTAAAATTATTTGAAATACAATCATTACCTGGTTCAACACCTATCGAACAAAAACGTGATTCTGATCTAAGAATATTGGCTATAAAAACTATTGAAACATTTTGTCGTGATTTATCGTTGAAAGAATTTGCACCACGTATAATACATTCATTAGTGAAAACAATTGATGATAATCCAAATGATAAACGTTTATTTCAACAAGCAATGGATACATTATGTCGTATTGTATTTCAATTAGATTTAAAATTTAAAATTTATTTAACATTAGTATCAAAAGTTTTACAAAAACATAAATTATTTCATGATAAATATGAATTATTGGCGGATAAAATACAAAATGATATTACTATTAGTGAAATGAATCCGGATGCATTATTATTACCGGCAAATCTTGTTCGAAAAGCCGGTGTTAATCGTCGTAATTATGAAAGTGAATCACAACAACAACAACAACAACAACCAGGTCAAACAGATACAAAACGTGCAACATTATCATTGGAAGAACTTAAACATGCATGGAATCAATGTTCACGTCGTATTTCAAAAGAAGATTGGTTAGATTGGTTAAGAAAATTTAATGTTGATCTAATTAAAGAATCACCATCACTTTCATTACGTTCTTGTTTTCCAATTGCACAATCATGTAATAATGTTGCACGTGAATTATTTAATCCAGCATTTTGGTCATGTTGGAATGAATTGAATTCAGCACAGAAAAAAGAATTGGTTACATTATTGGAAGAAACAATGAAAGAACAAGAAGTACCTGAAGTTACTGGAATTCTATTGAATTTAGCCGAATTTCTTGAACATATTGATCAAGGACCATTATTATTTGATGTAAAAATACTTTCGGAACGTGCAATGAAATGTCGTGCATATGCAAAAGCATTACATTATAAAGAAAAAGAATTTCAAGAACGACCAACAACTGAAAATCTTGGTGCATTAATAACAATCAATAATAAATTACAACAACCACAAGCTGCATATGGTTGTCTGGCATATGCATTAAAATCAACTGAAATTAATGATATTGAAATAAAAGAAAAATGGTTTGAAAAATTACATAATTATGAAAGTGCATTTATTGCATATAAAATGCGTTATGAACAAAATGGACAAGATCATGATGCATTACTTGGCCAAATGAGATGTTTAGAAGTATTATCCGAATGGGAAAGATTATATACGCTGTCACAGCAAACATTTAATGATGTTAGTGAATATTATCAACAACGTATGGCAAGGATGGCTGTTACAGCAACATGGAGTTTAAATCAATGGGATGAAATGATTGAATATGCAAGATATATACCTACGGATTCATTTGAATCAGCATTCTATGAAGCAGTTATTCGTGTACATCAAGAAGATTTTCAACAAGCACAATATTTTATTGATAAATCACGTGAACTTATTGATACGGATTTAACATCAATGGCAGGTGAATCATATCAACGTGCATATCCAGCAATGGTACAAGTACAAATGATGAGTGAATTAGAAGAAGTTATTCAATATAAATTAGTACCCGAACGACAAGAAATGATTCGTCAAAAATGGTGGCAACGATTACAAGGTTGTCAACGACAAATTGAAGATTGGCAAAAAATTTTACAAATACATTCATTGGTTCTTAAACCACAAGAAGATATGCGTGCATGGTTAAAATTTTCAAAATTATGTGAAAAAAATCATCGTTTAGATTTATCATTCAAAACTATTGTCAAATTAATGGGAACTAATCCAACAAAATTAATACAACAAAATCATCAATTACCAATAACATATCCCGAAGTTACATTAAAATTTATTGAACATTTATGGAATAGTGGTCGTTATAAACGTGCTTATATTGAATTACAACGTTTTTGTCAACGTTTAGAAGAAGAGAATAGTGGTGTAAATGTAGCCGCACAATTAAATCAAAATCAAAATCATTTACAACAAAGATTTAATATTAATCTACAAGATGATTCAATGACCAATACAACAACAACAACAACGACTACAACAGCAGCAGATATTTTAACAACAAATAATAATGATTATATGTATGCACATATAGCACCTGATGCACATATGTCACCTGAAGCTATTAATAAAGTATTATCACGTGCATATCTTAAACGTGGTCAATGGGAAGAATTTCTATTGGATTTTGATCATGTATCAATACCATCAATTCTTGAATCATATAAAAAAGCAACACAACGTGATCTGCAATGGTATAAAGCATGGCATACATGGGCTTTTATGAATTTTCGTGCATTAAAATTTTGTAAAGAATTATTACCTGAAGTAAGAAAAAATATTGATCATCCATTGGATGTATTGGGTAAATATGGACCACGTTTAAAACCAAAAGAATTTGCAATCAATGCTGTTCGGGGATTTTTTCAATCAGTTGCATTCTGTCGTAATGGTTCATCATTACAGGATACACTTAGAATTTTAACCATTTGGTTTGAAGATGGTTATGATGATACTATTCGTGCAGCTGTTGAAGAAGGTATAAAAAGTGTATCGATTGAAACATGGTTACAGGTGATACCACAATTGATTGCACGTATAGATATGCCACATGTTCCAGTGGCTAAATTGATTCATACACTTTTAACCGATATTGGTAAATATCATCCACAAGCATTAATATATCCATTAACAGTTGCATCAAAATCATCGAATGAAGCACGTAGTGAAGCAGCTAATACAATCTTAGTTCTTATGCGTGTTCATTCACCAAATCTAGTAAAACAAGCTGTACTAGTTTCTGAAGAATTAATACGTATAGCAATATTATGGCATGAACTTTGGCATGAAGGTTTGGAAGAAGCATCTCGTCTTTATTTTGGTGATAAAAATGTTGATGCAATGTTTGAAACATTAGAACCATTACATAAAATGATTGAACGGCAGCCAAGTACACGTAAAGAATTGACTTTTTATCAAAATTATGGTCAAGATTTAGCACAAGCTTATCAATTATGCCAGTAAGTATTTCTTTTCTTATCTTTTTTAAAATTTTAATTTTGCTTTATTTAATCAAATTTTTTTTTCATAATAATTTAGAAATTATAAAATAACCCTTGAAACAAAGAATCTAACACAAGCATGGGATATTTATTATCATGTTTTTAAACGAATTTCTCGTCAACTTCCACAATTAACATCGTTAGAGCTTGAATATGTATCACCAAAATTGACTGAATGTAGTAATTTGGAATTAGCCGTACCCGGATCATATAGTCCACATAATGAATTGATACGAATAGCCAAAGTTGAAACACAATTGAATATAATTATTTCAAAACAACGTCCAAGAAAATTAACAATAAAAGGTTCGAATGGACATAATTATATGTTTTTATTGAAAGGACATGAAGATTTACGACAAGATGAACGTGTTATGCAATTGTTTGGTTTAGTCAATACATTGCTTAATTCAGAGGATGCAACATCCAGACAAAATTTAGGTTAGTTTTTTTTTTGAATACGAAAATTTTTTTTTTCAATAAATTATTTTCATTCTTTTTATCCCTTAGCCATTCAACGATATGCTGTGATTCCATTAAGTCCCAATTCCGGTTTAATTGGTTGGGTACCATGTTGTGATACACTTCATTCCTTAATACGTGATTATCGTAATAAACGTAAAATTTTGCTCAACATGGAACATCGATTAATGTTACGTATGGCTCCTGAATATGATCGTTTAGCATTATTACAAAAAGTAGAAGTATTTGAACATGCATTAGAACATACACCTGGTGATGATTTGGCAAAAATTTTATGGGTTCGTAGCCCATCATCCGAAGTTTGGTTTGATCGACGAACAAATTATACAAGAAGTTTAGCTGTCATGTCAATGGTTGGTTATATATTGGGATTAGGTGATCGTCATCCAAGTAATCTAATGCTTGATCGTAATTCTGGTAAAATTTTACATATTGATTTTGGTGATTGTTTTGAAGTAGCTATGACAAGAGAAAAATATCCGGAAAAAATTCCATTCAGGTAATTATTGGTTTATTGTTTATCATTCTTTTTTCTAAACATTTTCTTTTTGTTTGAAATTTAGATTAACAAGAATGTTAATCAAAGCAATGGAAGTAACTGGTTTGGATGGAACATTTCGAACTACTTGTCAACAAGTAATGATGTGTTTACGTAAAAATAAAGAATCTTTGATGGCCTTACTCGAGGCATTTGTTTATGATCCATTACTTAATTGGAGATTGATTGAAGGTTTGTAAATAAGATGATTTTTTGTTATTTGGTTTCTAATTTTGTATTTAATTAATTTTATTGTTAAAGCTCAACCAAAATCAAAAACTGATCTTAATAGCAAAAAACCTGTGGTCAATTTAACAGCAAAAGATTCGAATAATAATCGTCATCGTCATCATCATCATCCGGATGCTCATCCAATGAAAGGTGTAATGGATGTGGTGGATGAAGAAAGTTCTTCAAATCTGGATCAACCACCACAAGGACCATCTGCTACAGTATTACATCAAGCCGATGATAATCAAGATGTTGGCGGCAATGATATTATTCATCATCATCCACGTGGTCATCCACAACGATTATCATCGATCAAACGAATCGTATCGATACAGAATGCTGAACAACGACGACTTGATTATTATCTTGATGAAGGTCTTAATTCAAAAGCTGTTGCTGTTATTGAACGTGTCAATGATAAACTTACTGGACATGATTTTGGCAGCAGTAGCCGTGTATGTAGCGTTAATTCACAAGTCGAACAATTGATCAAACAGGCTACCAATCATGAAAATCTTTGCCAATGTTATATTGGTTGGTGTCCATTCTGGTAACCAGATAATCATTTGTTTTCTTCTAACAAAACACATAATATTCTCTGTTGAATCAAATTGAAATTTAAAAAAAATTGTTTTTCTTGAAATCTTTTTTTTCTTTGGGTCACACACACATTGTTAAATTTATTTTTCTTAAAAATATGATGTTATAAAATGATTTTGTTTTGTTTTTTAAAAACGAAATGATGATGATGATCGCTATCGATTGTGTTGTCAATTTATAATATAATTAATCCACCGAATTAAATCGGATGTTGTCGTTTTTTTTCATGATAATAAGATGTTTGTGTGTGTGTTTGTATTCTGATGAGTGTAAGTGAATATAAATTTTTCTTTTTTTTGAAAAAAAATTCATGAATTCAATATGGGATTCGCGCTATTCATCAATATTCAAATTTAACAGGTGGATTCTTATTCTTTGTTGTTTTTTTTTTTTTTTTTTTTTTTTTTTTGGGTTGTTTTTCTG